ACTGTGGGCATGCGCAGTGTGCGCAATGCCAACTTTTTCTTATTTAGGAGATATTTGCTTTGAAATTTTAACCACAGACGCTTCTAGGTAAAGGCAAACATTCGCACTAGTAAAAATAATGTGTGGGCATTGCGACCACAGGTGGATGTGCCGTGGGGCATACTGCGGCAATGCCCAAATTTCTTATTTTATGGAGATATTTCTTTGAAATTTAACCACAGGCGCTTCTAGTAAAGGTTAAACATTCGCACATAGTAAAAATTGTGGGCATTGCGCAGTGACTGCCGCAATGCTAACTTTCTTATTTATGGGAGATACTTCTTGAAATTTAGCCACCAGGCGCTTTCTAGTAATGGCAAAACATTTTCGCACATAGTAAAAATTATGTGGGCATGACGCAGTGGACTGCACAGGTTGCTTCATAGCCAATTTCTTAGGTATGGTAATATTTCTTTTGAAACTTTGTAACTTATACTCCTCTCTCTCTTCTGGGACGTGGATGTGCTTCAATATGCAAGATTCGACATTTTGGTGTGCTTTTGGTGACGATGCTCGTTTCAATACTTTGTGTTACGCGTGCAATACCCACGAGTGGGTTTTGGAACATTTTTTTTTATTTTTTGGAAATGCGCTAAAAGTAAAAAGTATAGTATTTAACTCGTGAGAAAGGCATTATTCACTCAGATAAATTACGCCACTCGTCTTCGACTCGTGGCGCAAATCTTATCTTCGTGAATAATTGCCAACTTTCTCACTCGTTGAATAATATACTATTAATGGGTCTTTTTTGGTAATCTTCACCCAAAAGAATCTCAGAAACGCCACCTCAACTACGAAAATCGGTCAAAACCTTTGAATCTTGTCGGACGTTAAAGATATCATACAATTGGCCTTATATATGATAAATGAAACATGCTTCCCACACAGAAATTAGCTTTGGATATTATTTTTGTAATATTCACCGTCGGAAACCTCGTAAACGTCAACCCAAACGTAAAAATCGCTCTAAAAGCATATATTTCCTGAAATTTAAAAAAATGGCGCCATTTTCAATCCTAAGGGACGGAACTTCCGGCTCTGCGACTCAAATCACTCCAATAGGTCTAGGGAACATGTGCTCCAAGTGGCACAATTTTAATACGAAATGCCGAATAATACCAATATTTATCACGAGCCGCTCCCACTATTAGTTCGATAGATGATTGTTCTTCTTCAGAGGAAGTTTCCGCGGCAAACACTTTTTCCTGGATCCACTCGTAATTTTTTCCTCTTTTGTCGACTATTAAAGGTGGACTGTCCAGCTTCTCTTTGACTTCGTAATAAGTTCGTTAATGTATCGTTTACAACTTCGTGTATATTATTATCATTTCCTCATGGAAGTTTCTTTAACACTCGCTCTCCATTCAAAGGGAAAACACCAGTGGCCTCAAATCCATTGATTAGAATTCTTCTTATGGCATTCTCCTGAGCTTGGTTTTGATGTTTTGTCTGGACTGAATCCATTTTCTCTAGCGCCAATTTTATCAAAGCAGGAAACTGTTCCTTGGGTACAGTACCGTTGCGAGCGTTACCTAATTTCCATTGCGTTAAAATGCTACGCCAGGCTGTTTTCAAAGGCCTAAAAAAGGCAACGTCCAACGGTTGCAATAAATGAGTAACTGTTGGGTGGCAGGCACACAAACGAAATGTCATTTTCTTCACATTTCTTGATCACATTTACGTTTAAATGTGAGGCAAGATTGTTGCGCATGAGGCAAAATTGTTGACTCAAACCAAACGCTGAAAGTTTCCGAGTCGATCCAACCATGTTTCGTTCAAATCGATTCCAAATAGCTTTTAATAAAGACCTTCAAGTCCCGTTCTCCTAGTTGAAATCCCCAATCGGAGCATTTGAGAATTCCATTCACGAAAGCCCGTTCCTCGTCTGTATTGAAAACCGGCTTGCCTCCAGGCTTACAGCCCTTTGAATTTTTTTTCGAAATTGACTAAATATTTTGAAAGTATTTGAGTTACAAATACAAATACTGCTTCCATAAAAGTATTTAATTACAAAGTATTTGAATACTTTAAAGGATTTGAATACTAAAAAGTATTTACAAAATCGAATACTGCCCAGTTCTGGTATGGACGCTAGTAAACTTCCCGAATGTTAGAGGAATCTCTATAGAACATCCATTCTGAATGTATACAACATACATAGAATATCCTATTGAACATCTTTTGCATATTACAGGAATATTCATGATATATCCAGTTGTCAGTATACCAATATACATAGCATGTCTGATGCATATACGTGCATATACATAAGACATCCAAAACGTATATACTATGTATTATGTGAAGTCTGCCAAACTTATATCCCATGCACATACATCGGACATTTGCGACATACTTTTCCACATTCTATGGATATACAATATCCCACGTGGAATGTACATGGTATATGCAATGTATATAGATCTGCTATGTGGGTATTTCGGAGGATGGCCCGGGATTATTTCGGTAGTGGGGGGGAGGGGGGAAGTACCGGAAATTGGACCCATCTAGGATGCTGGTTGTACTATCTTACACGCTGGACCTTGGATCTTGGATGCTAGAGACCTAACTTATTGAAAACCATTTGTTGGTAAGTGGTGAAAAATTAAACAAACTGTTTTTAATTGGTAGGCATTTTGATCCTTTTCAAATTGCCTATTTTCACAGATGGAATAAAATGCAAAACTGACCTTCAAAGCTGTCCTTATTTACGTCTCCAATCGCTGACATAGCAGTTCCAAATCGCGCACCAGGTTTCTTGCTTCCATATATTTTCCTGGGACTATCAAGATTGCCCTGAAAGAAGTATCTTTAAATATGGTTACCAGTGGGGGGTTTATCTGTACCTCTCCTTTATTTTTGTAAAAGTAAACGCAACCCTCGTCCCACGTATCGGTGGTATACGTCGGCGCACCAACCAACAAATCAAAAATTCCCATCTGAGCACCAAGATCTGACGTAGCTATACCAAGTACGCTTCCTCCAAAGTACGACCCAAACTGCTCGCCAATGAATTTCTTGTGAACAATCAAATCTGAGTCTTCGTATTGCGGAAACTCGAACAACAACACCTACGAAAAACATTGGTGACAAATTCTTCACTTCCAGTTGCTTACCATTCCGTACAAATCTGCAGCTCTGGGCGATCCGGCAATAAACCAGAGATCGCTGTATTTCCGAACGAATCTACCCGAAGATACGCTATAACCTAGGTGGGAGTATTTCAAACCGTATTATAACATACCTATACTCACCGAAGTAAAAGTTGTCTTCTTCCAACGAGGAGATGTACACCGGATTGGGAACATTAAAGCTGTACAGGAGTTGTCTTTTGTGACGCTGGTGAGTATCTCTGCGTTGAATCTGCAAGTTGCTCGTATCTTGGAAGGCGACCTGCACGATTGAACCTCTCCAACCTAACACGCCCGGAGCTCCCAGGAGCAACCTGCGTTGCCTCTAAAATTGCTTTGACGACAAGCGGAAATTTAAATTGACGCTTACCGTCACGTAGTGCATGGCAAAACCGAGCTGACCCATTGCATAATAATACTTCACGACCTTTGCAAGTGTATAGCCTTGCTTGCCTAAAACATCAGCGATTGTTAATCGAGAGATTTGCGTCGAATGCGCGTACCAGCATTTAATAACGGCATGTAGCGTTCCCAATCCGCCGTGATGTTGGAGGAGGTGGTCATTCCGTAGCAAATTCCGTTTGCCAAGTAGTGCTGCCCGTATCTGTCGCTCCTGTCATTTTTCCATCTGGGGCTACATACCTACGGAAATTGGGGTAATAAGAGCCGCGCAACCCGTTTTGATTACCTACATATAAAGGATCGTCCACGTTATCTCCTCCCTCTACAGCGGCGCCCATCAGACCGTTGTCTTTTAAATCTTTGAAATTGTATCGGTTGTCACCAGATTTCACTTCGGTGTTGCCTGAATTAACGAAGATTATTTTAGAGACGTGGCGCGTTTGGCTCCCTTACCTTTCGATTCAATCACGTACTGCTGACATGATGACGAAGTGCCAATATCACATTTATAAAGAGCTCCTGGTACCCCTATTGAGTTGTGGACAGCGTAAGATGAATTTGAGTTCGGGGCGCCAACTATTACCCTGCAATGAAAAACCATTTTTTATTTTTAGATCGCTTTGCAGGTTTTAAAACTTTTTCGATTTCGCATTTCATTTAAATATATGGAAATTTACATTTGTACCGCTTCATAGGAAACGTGGACGTAAGTAGATCTGGCGATAAATGAAACGCTTTTGAAATTAAAACATGGGCTGGGTAGATACGATATTGTGTTACCAGTTCTATTAACTGATTTGACGGAGTCGTGGGATGACCTAAAAGGTATGTAGATGTGTGGCGAAAAAGTGCACTTAACGACTTCACGAGGTTCCGTTTCAGAACTTGACTTAAAATAGCCAACGAAGCAGAAAAGTCGGGCACTCTTAGTTTTACTTCGATATCGGAGGCTACAAAGTTGCCTCATACGATGACTTATGTAATAATACACAGGGTGTTCCATATCAAAGTCACATTTTTGTTATCATCTGAAAAATGCGATGTGGTTTTGTTTTTTTAAATGCAGATTTGAATTCATTGGAAAAATACGCAATTTTTATTTATATATATACTTGGAAAGAACCTATAAATACCAACGGTTATTAAAAAGCACAAAATTTCATAACAAACAAAATTTGCCGAGGAAAATGTAAAACACTGATTAATTCACAGTTTTTTTGGGACACCCTATATATCACCACAGGATATATTTTCCTACATTTTCCTTACTAGCTATGAAGTTAATTAACCAACTCTTACGTATATATAAGTAATAAATTATGGAAAACAATTTAATACTAAATAGCACACAATACAATAGATAGTGGCGCCATCGTGCTGTATTTGTGAACTAGTGCAAAATTCGGCCTGGCAACATCCCGAATCGGATTCAACACATTTTTTTACATCTAAAAAACCATGTGGCCAAAATGGCTCATAAAATGCCGTTAGAACTAATAAACAAAGTCGTTTTTCGATTTGGCCACTTAACTATTTCTGTGGGGTTTTGCATAGTTAGGTAGAGAATTTAAAAAACGCCCCCTATCAACTGTGTAAATTTTCTGCTTTCACTAAATGTACACAATTCGGAAACATTTCTATTCTGTACAATATTACCCATAGCACGGTTGCGTACTGATTTTTCGAGTCTAAAACCTTTAGGGACCGTATTTATAAGAACGTGATGGCCCACCCTAGAGCTGGAAGGGCCCCGCCAGTTACACATTTTCTTATAGATTTTGGCCTGTAGAAATCCGTAATCTCTTAACAGTTTGAAGATGGGGCCACTAGATCAAAAGTTACAGTCCCTTGAATTTTTTTTTATGAAATAGGATTAAAAAATGATAGCACGAAGAAGACTTACAGGAAGAAGGTGGTGTAACGGTAGGATTTAAATTTTTTTCTATTTTTAGAGAGTTGGGTGTAACGGGTGTGAATATTTTCAATTACACATAATGCTTTTTGGCCCGGACGTAAAGGAATGAAATTTTGTAATTAATTGTATATAATGTATATTAGGTTTTGTAAACGTATCATTTGTTGTAAGTTTAAATTTAGAATGGAGGGAATGTACTTTGGACGGACAAAGGTGTAAATGAGTAGCGGGGAGAGAGACAGTAAATTTTAGTCAGTGCGAATTAAGTCGTTGTGGAACTCGCATTGTAAGCGCAAGTTTTTAACGAAATACTAAATTATTAAAAAAAGGCGCCTAAAACTATTGTCGTTTTAGGACAATAATACCCAATCAATAAGTGTGAATTAAAGCGAGCTAATCGTATCACCATTTACCTGCAAATATAACAAGGTGGAAATTTCCTAGAAGGAGCAGTGACGATCTAAATAAAAATCAAGTTACTGGAGTCCATTTATTCGAGGAGACTGCAGCAGAGGGTTGCAGATTTCAAAGCACCAGGACGTGGCCATCAAGTTCAACAACTCCAGCTGAATCAAGAGACTTCATTCATAAGGTAAAAGACAATATTCCTTTATACTAATTTTTATCCAACGGCGTACGTATTTTAAAACTTGCGGTCATTTTGCATGGGAATTAATGACAATTTATTTACGAACTTCGAATTAACCCCGGAGACTGATAAGTCCTAAAGTATTTCAAACGCACACCGAATTATGACAATTTTGCGTAATTCCTCCAGGCATATTAGAGTATCAATTTCGGTAGTAATATCTTGCCCAAATTTTGATTACTATCTGTTGAAATTAATGAAGGACCTACGAAGATCAAAATGAACTTAATTATTCCCTATTATTTACCTGAGCGAGCTGGAAGTATAAAAGTATAATTAAGGTAAGTTCCGAAATACTTCACACCGACATCGACCCCGAGAAACGAAGGATAAGAAGAATATACACGGTGAATCATGGATAATTTGTAACCGTCCGTTACATGGGTAAAGTTAACATTTTTGTAACTTGGGGGGGGGGGGGGGGGGATTTCATATCACAAACAATTTACAGGTCTCGATTTTGGAATTCTCAAGTAATATTCGGCAGCCGTTACGGATTTGAAGTTTGTCTTTTCTGCGTCATTTGATTTCTATAACACATTGTTTTTTAATAGCTTTGGGATCAAATTTATTTAAAAAATCTAGAGTGTAAACTTCGCCACTATTTAAAAAAAACAGTTAGAAAGCCGTTAATGACAAAGTGTTACGGTATGCAGTAGAACCTCAATAATCCGAACACGCTGTAAATGTAACCTCGCTAATCCGAAAAAATTCGGGATGATCCGAATAAAAGTGCGAACGCTCCACAATTCGCTCACTAAAACGTACACACGCGCTGAGCGTTTTGATATTTATTTTATTAACAACCTCTGGTCCCAATTAGTTCGGATTAGCGAGGTTTTACTGGAAAACTGTTCGATTGCTTGCTATCTAAAAGAATGAAAAAGGTTTTCGCCGCAAGGCGCATTTTCCATGAATCGATCGGTACTTCCCGAAAGGGCATAATAATGGATTATTTCTGTGTACAATGAAAACAAGTTAAGGCAAATTTATAATATGCTTTAGATAAAAAAAAGTAAGCGTTGCGCAGTCGCACACCTGATTCAAATATGCGATATGTTTGCCTTTAGTAGAAGAACTTTTTATTAAAATATCAAAAAAATATCTCAATAAATAAGGAAATAGAAGAGTCGTGGAGGGAGCCTGGAAAGACACCACAACGAAAAAGTTTAAACTGGAGAAGTAAAGTCTCTTTTCGATTGTAAAACATAAATACCTATTGTTTTTTTTTCTTGTTCCGTTCCCGTGGGAATTTCGAATGGTGTTTCAGTAGGTACATCAGAAACCTTCGCGGGCATACGTAATTGATACGTTTGACCATCTAGTTTGTAGTCTCACTTTATGTGGACGATATGGATTCTTATAAATTAATTTTATTTTTCATGGAATTCTAATTAAAGGTCTCAACGAATGGAACCGTTTTCGTAAATTAAAAAAATTAATCGCCTTAGGTGAGTAATTGTAGCGCATTTGCCATGAATTGATCAGTACTACCCGAAAGGTCATTTAACGGATTATTTATATGTACAAAGGAAAATAAAATAATAAACTTGGCATTGCGCCATTTGTGCGTGCGCACACCTTAAAATGCGACCTGTTTGCCTTTTCTAGAAGAATTTTTAATTAAGATTTCAAAAAATGTTTCTATAAATAAGAAAGTTTACATTGCGCAGTTTGCGCACGCGCACAATCTGATTTTTGCAATATGCGATATGCTTGTCGTTATTAGAAACATCTGTGTTAAAATTTCAAAAAAATATCTATAAATAAGAAAGGAGATATTGCACTTGCGCAAATTAATTGCCAAGATTTTCATTATTATTTATGGACATAAAATTGGAAGCAATGGAATCCTTATGTCCTTTGGATGAATTGCTGCTATTATCGCCATCAGCTTGGGTGTTATTCAATTTTTAAAAAAACGTATCAATGTATTTGCAAAAAAAATGTCTATATGGACTTCTTGTTAAAAAAATAGGTGTGTGTTTTATATTCCGGTTTTGGTGTAGTGCATATAGAGTAGTGATATAAACCGTATAACGTGACGTGTTATCTTTCCGTATTTAAAGGATCCACCACTTCCACCATACACAATCACAATTAGACATCTCTGTCTCTGGAGACCAATCCTTGCCCAGGTTCAAAATCTGGCAAGCCTAGAACGAAAGCTATTTGAAAGTAGGAGGTGTGACAAAATGCTCGATAGCGATATACGGAAGGCGGGAAGGAAAGAGGCGAAAAAAAGACGTGTAGGTAATGTCTAATTTTGAAGGTATAAACAAAGTAATGAAGAAAATGGTCCTATTGGTCGTAAAGAACGGTAAACGGGTCTTTAAATGGGTCTTGAAGGTGGCGTGAGTTATTTTGAAGTTTTAAAAAGAAGCAAAAGAAGACGTAGAGTAGGTATCAGTAAGGAAAGTGTTCGTGAATATATTGTATCCTCTCGAGGGTAACATTTTGAGATGAAAGCTGGGTTGATTTTATCGTGGCAGGACTTTGAAACTAAAATTACTCCTGAGTGACGGGTACAATGTCGATACACAGGAAGAAGCAAAAACATTGTTGAGCCCTGGACCAATAGCGAAGATTGAAGAATGGGCGAACACTGAAGAAACTGTATTTTTATTAAGACAACAGAACTCGTAGTAGAGGTAGTAAGGACAGGGCTGCAATCTACTACTATTACCGGAGATATAATATTTTAAGGGCAGCATCATCGCATGTTATAGTTTTTCTCGAGATTGTTCCTAAAATAATTTTGATACCTAGGTATACCACAAAATCTTTTTGCCTATAACTTTTTATTCAGAGGTCCAATTGACAAAATACGAGACGTTTTGGAATCTACGAAGCTAAATTAATAGGAAAAAGTGTTTCCCCGAAAATTTTTGAGGTGAAAAACGAGGCAAAATTGAACACAATGACAGTATTCTGAGGATACAGCTTTTTGAAATCCTACCAACACGAAATAATATCATTTTCAAACTTGGCAACCCTCTATCTCATCATGCACTTGGAAAAGTTCCGGAGATAATAGCGCGATATCTGAGATGAGCTGCGGTATCAAGCGGAAACACTCGGTATCCCTGAAGGTATTCCATTACTTCCTAATAAGACTTACCTCGAAACGTCGCCCTTCTGCAGCAAAAGAGAATATCCAAAGTACTTCTCGCCACTACCGACGCTGATGAGATCAACGAAATTCAAGTCAAAATTGAAACTGTCACATACTCCGAGAATAATTAAAATTGCATACGCGCGTACAGACACCATGGCTGTAAAACTACAACTGAAAGAACGCAAAAAATAATTATTAAATTAAATATTCATCGTTATCCAAATAATTCAGTGGCGCGACCGTCTCCAGGATGGCAGCATACAGTCTGCGTGCGTAAGTGATGTGTACTTCAGGATGTTTTTATTTGATAAAAAAATCCGACTGATAAGATACAGTAATGATGATAAATGATTTATAATTTGACTCATCGGCTCGGTTTTGCCAAAGAGATAATTGTCGGATTTTAAGCACGCCACTGGTACTAACAATGAAATCACGCTTTCCCGCAAAGTGATTCATTAATGAGGGTGTAATTAGTCGGTATTTTTGAAATCGCGAATTTCCAAATAATTTTTGTCAAATAAAAGGAAACGGTTAACAACCTATTAGCGCAATTTGCGTTAAACGTTTTATGTACCGACAGGTAATTTTCCTCAATTTTTTGACTGATTTTTAGGCTTTAATTAGAAGAGAATTTTTATCTTCTTTGTCCAAGGTGGGAATCAGTTTAGGAGGTGTGATCATTTTATTATTCTTAACGTATGGGCTTGTACCATTACTCATTATTACACATCTAAATCAAATAAGTAATGAATAATACATACTTGCTCTGAATTTATTAAATATACTTGAGGTACAGTGTTACTGTTTATGGATTGTTGTAGCATTTAGACCCGCACTCCCAGACTCCAGAAGTAAGAGTTTGGTACTCTTGTGCAGAATCTGCAGATAAGACGCATTTTTTTAAATCGAAATATCTTAGTAGATGGTTGGGTTATAAGGGGAGGAGGCTCTTTACACACAAACATTTAAAGACTGGTCGTTTTTTAGTCGCCTGGTACGACACGCAGTGCCTTCTGCTGTTATTCTACTATCAGCCCCTATACGGGGGCATACATTTAGAAGACTACACTATCGAAATATCCATACAAATTTAATGAACATTTAAAAAAAATTGCAAAGAATAAACTACACTAGCGGGCTCCCGTTACATTTTTTTTAGAATCAAACGTATAGCTGGATGCAAAACTTGATACAACATACCACTTTCTTCCTAGACATGACGAAGAACAAAAAATTGATACTTCACAACTAAATATTAATAATATTCTAATTGTCCACTATCTGGTAATATCATTGTTAGGATACTAAAGAAATATGCTATTTTGCTCATGCATACCTGTCACCTTACTTTCTTTTAGCTTCCGCATGGACATTTATATGCATTATATTCAAACTAGAATTTGAAATTGCATTCTATAATTCGTTTCCGTTTGCATATTTCGCAGTGAATACCCACATAGCAGACCTATATACATTGCATATACCATTGTACGTTCCACGTGGGATATTGTATATCCATAGAATGTGCAAAAGTATGTCGCAAATGTCCGATGTATGTGCATGGGATATAAGTTGTATACATTCAGAATGGATGTTCTATAGAGATTCCTCTAACATTCGGGAAGTTTACTAGCGTCCATACCAGAGCTGGGCAGTATTCGATTTTGTAAATACTTTTTAGTATTCAAATCCTTTATTCAAATACTTTCACAAATATTTACTATAGTCAATTTCGAAAGAAAATTCAAAGGGCTGTAACTTTTGAACTAGTAGCCCAATCTTGAAACTGTTTGAAATTATGGATTCTACAGGCCACATTCTATAAGAAAATTTTTTATCCGGGTCGATCTGAGACAATTTTTTTTTCGGGGCTCAAAAAAAGGCAGTGTATAACCTTCCTTTTTTTGCCAAAAATCGACTACACCAAAATTTCTCGGGAAAACACTTTTTCTTATTAATTTGGGTGCGTAGAATCCAAATCAATTCGTACTTTTTCGATCAGACTTCTCAATCAAAAGTTATAGACTAGAAACCAATTTTGAAAAAAAATTCAAAGGGCTGTAACTTTTGAACTAGTAGCCCAATCTTGAAACTGTTTGAAATTATGGATTCTACAGGCCACATTCTATAAGAAAAATTTTTCCGGGTCGATCCGAGACAATTTTTTTTTCGGGGCTCAAAAAAAGGCAGTGTATAACCTTCCTTTTTTTGACAAAAATCTACTACACCAAAATTTCTCGGGAAAACACTTTTTCTTATTAATTTGGGTGCGTAGAATCCAAATCAATTCGTACTTTTTCGATCAGACTTCTTAATCAAAAGTTATAGACTAGAAACCAATTTCGAAAAAAAATTCAAAGGGCTGTAACTTTTGAACTAGTAGCCCAATCTTGGAACTGTTTGAAATTATGGATTCTACAGGCCACATTCTATAAGAAAAAATTTTTTCCGGGTCGATCTGAGACAATTTTTTTTTCGGGGCTCAAAAAAAGGCAGTGTATAACCTTCCTTTTTTACCAAAAATCGACTACACCAAAATTTCTCGGGAAACACTTTTTCTTATTAATTTTGGTGCGTAGAATCCAAAACAATTCGTACTTTTTCGATCAGACTTCTCAATCAAAAGTTATAGACTAGAAACCAATTTCGAAAAAAAATGCAAAAGGCTGTAACTTTTGAACTAGTAGCCCAATCTTGGAACTGTTTGAAATTATTACTTTTACTCCCCTTAAATTTGTATATAACAATAGAAATATAAAAAAAAGCTAACCCCATACAAAGTATAACTTGATTTTTTAAGTAGCATTAAGACTTTTATCTAGTATACTATTTTCGAATACATTCTAAAGTATTTGAATACTTATTTTTTAAAGTATTTGAATACTTTTCAATGTATTTGTATCTAGTATTCGCTTGTGCTGGACGTATAAGTATTTAGTATTCAAATACTTTTTGAAAGTATTCTGCCCAGCTCTGGTCTATACCTTCATAAATAAATTCTTTTCACGGAGTTTTTGTTTATGAAGTCTCTTAGTGTACAATTGAAAATGTGCTTAAGAAATTATTATTGTTTTATTTAACACTGTAGTCTTGAGTCATTTTGATCGTGTTCTTGTTCAAAAATCATTACTTTCACTGTCAAAATTAGACAAACAAACTCATTAACAACTCGCAGAATAACACTCCTGATTTTAGAAAAATGAGCTGTATTTGCAATAGCACCTTACTATCTTCATCGCCGTAATTCACAGAAAATGAGACGCTAACGTTTGTAACGTCGGTAATACAGAACACGCATGTATCAAATCCAAAACGCATATACATAACATATAATCCCATGTATATACCTACATAGCACATCCAAAATGTATATTTATAGAATTATCCATACTGAACATAAAATACATATGCCTATCCTATAATGAAGATACATAGTATATACATAAGATGGACAGGATATTCCCTGTACATTATGGATTTAAAATGTATATACATAAGATATCAAATGCTATGTGGGTAAGTGATGTTTCAATAGTAGGGTCAAGACCAAGGAGATATAGCATAGCATCCTTGGGTCAAGACAATTAGTTAATTAATATTGAAACGACTTTATGCGAAACAAAATTGCAGGTGATTAAAAGTTATAGTGCAAACTCCGGGTAAATACCCTCTATTTACCTACACGGAATAGTAATTGAAAATGTATCCCAATTCTAATTAAAACACCTGATAGTACAATTGATTATTATCAACGGCATCAAATGATACGGGCCCAGTGCCCCAGTCAAATACTAAAAGTTTCCCGTAGCCAACTTCCCCTACAACCACAATAAACTAAATTGGATAATTGTAAAGATGTGTCACGAATAAAACAATTATTCAAATTTTTTTACATAAAAGACGCTTCAGTTATGTATTCGGTTGCATATACTTGCACTTCGTCAGATTGACGCGATCGCCGAAAATGACGTGCAGATTTTTCCTGACGCTCGCATTTCTTGCAGTTTGCTTAGTTGCCTTACGCGAAGGCAGTCCGATCCATCAACGAAATAGACGCGAGACCAATACGAAAGCGAACAATGAAGAATTTGAAAAATTTTTCCTGAAGGCATCCAAATCCGTACCACGAATTGGAAGAAGAGGATCTTCGGTATGTTCATCTTTAGTGATTCTTATTTTGGCACGTTTTTCAAACTTGTAGAACGACTTTTACCCAATGGACGAGGAAAAGTTTTCATTCTTTAGATATCCATTCGTTCATCAACCCAAACGGTCGATGGGAAAGGGGATTGACGGTAAGTCGCTTGGTCAAAATGAAATCTCAAAATTTACTTTTAGCGTCAATTTGGGCGGATATCGATACCATATTTGAGTTTAATCCACAATTACCGAGGATATTGGAGTATTTATCCAGTCTTCCACGCGACCGCCCGCAGTACGATGCTTTACATGCCAAGTTAAAAAGTCCACCCCTCGATGGAAGAAAGGAGCTTCTGGAATATAGACTTCAAGAAGAAGTATAAACGAATCCCAGAGAATCGGGAGGGAAGGGTGTACTTATCTCACATGTTCTGCGTTATTAGTTGAAGTTCATTTATTTCATTGTAGCGTAGGTACACACGTTGTACGTTAATAAACAATTTAATTATTTTATGAACTTAGCTCCTGCACCGTTCGAATTCGCACTGACAGGTCTTTGGTTCGCGTTATTTAAATCAACAAGTTAAACCGTCCCCAAGGATTGCGGTAATTCTTCTGAAGGCCCTCAATTAATAATTATTGTCTTAATACGGACACGTACAAAACATTGAACGTAAATGTATTATTTACTTGACAATAACTTAAATTGAATTATACGCGTTCAGGATGTGCTTCACCGTAAAATTACAAAAAAGTGGAAAACGGGGCGTAATTTGGGATGGAGCGATATAGCAAGTAATGAGTAAAGTGTTATTATGCGTGGGCTGCCATATTATTATTGACCCACAAGGTTCGTTTATGATTTATATTTGGCTCGCTGTTAGATGACAACATAAACATAGAAAAACTCCAATTTCATGAAATTTGCACCAACTTAGCACTACCGGGGTTCAAAATTACCACTGCGCAAGTTAGGGTGCAAAAACACATCACTGTTCTATGGAAGTGTAGCGTATATGCCAGAAAACCTGATAAACATAGGTGCGCCGTGATAGATTAGTCATCGGCGATCAAGAACGAAGGCGGATGTAACGAGAACATTCTAGAATAGTCGGATGCGTTCGAGATCTTCCGAAAAAGAAGCCCGTTTGCTACATCAGCCAATCGAATTGCGTGTCAGTGAGTTCCAATTTCGACGCCGCAGTAATAAATAGTTTATTATGTGTAGTCTTGAGTGATAAATACTATTTTATAGCTGTTATCAATCAATTCATTGCGTTACAGAATTGTATTACAGAAATTACTTTTGAATGTACAGTGTCCCATTTTTACGGTGTCAATACGCCTTGTAAATTTTTATCTGTTTCGATGTCATTTTTTAACCTCTGCATGGCAACCTATTCACTACCTATTTGGCTTTTTGGCAATGTTGCTAAATTATGAATTTTTTCCCATCCCACTTCGATAAATTGTAGAGACCTTGATATTAAACTGTTTTTTTGATCAATAATGTTAATCTGAATAACACTAGCGAATCTGTGTTATCTTGGAAATTGCATATATGTACCTTTATATTCATTTGACCGTGGGGTAATTATGAGAGTGAAAATATACGAATACCGCTAGGAGATTATCCATATCCAAAACAGTATATAATATTATTAATAAAATTGATGTACTTTGGGACACATATCTGTAGAAAGACCAACTGTAATTATATCTGGTAATACCTGCAGATCAATGTGTTATATTTATGCCACTGAAACATAGATAAAGAATACCATACAAATGCGTAATTGCCTAACCAATCCATTCTATATTATACTCTAATAAAGGCATCTACTATCAGCACGAGTGTTTGAGACATAATTAAAATAGATGCCCTGCCTTATAAAACCGAGAATGCAGGTAATTATAGTTTAAGTTGTTAGCGAGAAAATGGATAGCTACTAGATCAAAAGTTACAGCCCTTTGAATATTCTTTCGAAATTGGTTTCTAGTCTATAACTTTTGATTGAGAAGTCTGAATAAATGGCAGTTCAAAATGTACGGAGTCTTGCAAGATCTGTAGAGCAATTGTAGTTTAAAGGCCCGGTTTTTGAATAGATAATTTAAATACAACAAGTACTAGTGCGCCATCTCTATGGCAATCGATACACTTTCTAATCAATTATAGTTTTAGAAGTCTAGTTGAGATGTCGCCACGTACGCACCTTCTTTTAAAATTTTATTTGAATTTATGCGATTAATAGCAGCGTTGCACTTATTATTCCTTAAATGCAGTGCCGTTTTTAAGTTTTTCGGGTCCTGGGCCATTCGTTCGTGGAGGCCCTCCTTACCCTCAATAAAAACGGCAGATTGGGGAGATTCAAACGTATCCCTAATTTGAATATGGGCATCGATATTTGTGTAGCCTGGTTTGTAGGCAACACATCATGCTCAATGAACAGAAAACATTTATTTTTGCAATTTGTAACTTCTTATGCATAGGAGTTTATTTAAAGCCCTTGGAAGAACAATTTCAATAACAGATACATTAAACTGAACCGTTTACAACAACTTTCACACGAAGATCGCACAAACAACAAATTTTTTCGTGATTGCAAACTGCGTAACACTTTTGCCTTATTTCGCTGCCAATTTCACTACCGTTTCTATAACCGTAGTTCTATCAAATAAACTCTAGGCTCAATTCTTTAAGAAATAGCTTCGCACCATCGCCAGCTGCTGCAATCATGTAATCGTTCCGATTTTAACCTTGAGAAGTTTGAATTGCATTAGAATGGGTTTTCTGCGAGTTCTCCACGGTGTCCTCCTGTTTTGGTTACAAAGCATTTCCCTTTTCAATTTGTGTTGTCTGAATTGAATGCTAATGTTTCTCATCCATCGAGAACTACGTCTTCGATTGCACGACCCAGAGCGAACAGTATCATATTCCGCAAAGGTTGAGTCTGCCGCTTTCCTGTCACTCCCAGTAGCCAGTTCCCTAATTTAAACCTGTAAGCGAGAAAGGAATGATAACAAAGTTTAATTTTTGACTGTAAACAAACATTCATTATGCATTTGAGGTTAAAACTTCATATATCTATGGTTTTTTATCCAGCGCTCTGACATCTAACGTTAGTTTCATAAAGTACAATAAAAATAAAGTGTGGCGACATCTTTGAGGTGTAAGTTCCAACTAAAATAATGGTGGTATTAAGTTTCCTGCATTTAGCGATAAAATGTTAGTCCCCAATAATAAAGACAGATGTCAGCATAATGTATTCTGCTTTGATTATTTCAAATATTAACCAAAAACTCCGGCAAGGCTATAAACATTTTGGGATTTGTGCCTTTCGCAGTCAAAGGAGTAAACCACGTAACTCGAAAATTAAACAGTTCGCTCCTGTATTATAGCCTATTCCTTTGCGTCATAGCGTTTTTGGAATGCCAAAGGACAGGGCGGGTAAACGGACGGCCGTCCGTATACCTCTTCGGTATACCTATAGGTAGGTACCTAGATTTTTGACGATTTTAATAAAGTAAATTCGCCATACACGAGTTAAATCGTCATAAGAGTACAACGCAATAAATAAGAATTTTAAATCGGTGATCATTTTAAAGACTTGAAAGTTAAGTTTAATGTGAGTTAGGTTAGATACAAGATTTGTAAAAATTTAAAACACCCAAACTAATCTGAACTAACCTAACTACGACTCTAACCTAACCTTCAATCAACTCCTTGAACATTATCATGATACCAGATTTTTGACCTAACCTAACTAGCACGCTAACCTAACCTCACTTAAATTTTATTTTAACCTTCTATCTCCCCGCACATTATATTCTCCTGATACCAGATTTCTGAGCTAACCTAACTAGCCCGCTAACCTAACCTCACTTAAATTTTATTTTAACCTTCGATCTCCTCGCACATTATATTCTCCTGATACCAGATTTCTGAGCTAACCTAACTAGCACGCTAACCTAAACTCACTTAAATTTTATTTTAACCTTCGATCTCCTCGCACATTATATTCTCCTGATACCAGATTTCTGAGCTAACCTAACTAGCACGCTAACCTAACCTGACTTAAATTTATTTTAACCTTAGATCTCCTCGCACATTATATTCTCCTGATACCAGATTTCTGAGCTAACCTAACTATCACGCTAACCTAACCTGACTTAAATTTTATTTTACACTTCGATCTCCTCGCACATTATATTCTCCTGATACCAGATTTCTGAGCTAACCTAACTAGCACGCTAAC